CTGGAACATTTGTCTTTTCATAGAATTTTGCGCCAAGACTTTAGACGAATATACAGGAGGAATGTGCCTAGTTCTACTTTGTTTTCTGATGCAACACAGATAGGAGTCTCTGTTATAACCTCCTCGTATCTTATCATTTCATTAGCGCAATATATTTGCTGCCGTAATTGGCATATTAAGCAAAATTTAGAAGCTATTAACTGTGTTGGAATTACGTTATCATTAAGTAGAACTGTTTTTAGTCAAGATAACTCCATCATTTCCGCTTAAAAAAATATGTAATTACTGGAAAGACGTCATAATAAGCGTTAACATGATATGTTAATATTTTCGAAATGCTCAAAACAATTAAACAATGCAAGCACATAGGAAATTATACACATAAGTATACTTCTCAATCAGAGGTTCTGCAAAGCTACAATTTGCTCGCCTTATACCATTGCTATAATTAGGGTGAAATTAGTCCTTTAGAGGTTGAAAAGAGAGCACGCCCTTTCATTGGCGGAAAAAGTTTGATCTTTTGTAGCTTGTGAAGCGACAAGGATTCCCGAGAGGATTATTGTGCAGAGTAAGGATGACGAAAGCTTAGTTTATTTGCATATTGGCGAAGCAAGAGTCGCAGTGGACTGGAGGTTCTGTGATTGTATTGCTTTGGATGGAGAGCGTACACGCAATCAAGGACTTATTAGTCTTTGTTGTTAATATATTATATAACACTAACCAATCAAATATCTATCATCTTCGGTCGGGGATTCCAACAACGGTATAGAGTGAAAATAAGTAAGCTTGCTAGACAGCTCGTCTGGCCACAATGTATAGCTATAACCTATTTCAAGTCTTCATCTAACTGATTTGAATGTAATAGCTGAAGTTGAATTATGAAAAAATTTTCTTTTGATTAGTCGCACTTATAGATGCAGGACAATGTTGACCCCATCATCAGCTCTAATTTTCGGAACATAATCAGGCAAACAATAACTCCAAAACCTTCTTTCATTGTTGAAAGTTCAGTGTAGGAAAGCGCGTTCTCGGTTACATGTTGCGTGAGGACAACCGTGTTTTGCTTTTTGATTTTAAAGAAAATTTTGTCTCTGCTCTCATTA